TTATACACACACACACACACACACACACACACACACACACACACACACACACACACACACTAATGTCTGGTCAACGCCTGTGTGTTATAATAAAGTTTAGAAAATAAAATAAAATAAAAATAGTGTCAGACCCACCAGTTGCTGTGTGCACCTTGTAAGCTGTGCGCATGCAGCAAGTGTTTTTTGGGGTGGCGGAGGGGAGGCTGCGTGCGGCGGTGGGGCCTGTTCTTGGAAGGATGCAAAGTGTTGGATGACATGACTGCAAAAAGATTGACTGGGAAACTTTTTCGCCCTGACATGAACTTGGCTCCGGTCCTCTCAATGAGGAAAAACAAGCAAGATCCCTCCATCCAGCGCTCGCGTTTTTGTTTGCCAAAACATCAGTCGCGCGCGCACGCCGCCAGCGGTTTCATCACACTAATGTCGCACATACACAGCGTTGACTTTTAGCATGATGACCGAGCAGAAGGGAGGAAACAACAAGGAGGAGGAGTAAGGATGAAATGATGTTTGTTTGTGCAAATAAATGACAAACTACGCAGCTACCTGTTGAAATCATTTGTCAAGCGCATGTCTGGCCAGGATCATTCCGGCATTGTTGGAAAGGTGGTCGGCACATGACCTTCACGTGGAGAAGTATTTGACATCCGCCTACGCCAAGTACACAGACTTGATTAGGTGCTTTTTGGGTACGTGCGCCAATTGAACAAACGTGAACGTGAAGTTTACGCTTCGAGGCCTTTCCGCAAAACGGGAATCTGGATGATTGTTTTCAGCAGGTAATCAAAAAGAACTCAGGGAGTGGAAAGTACACAATTCAGATTAAACACCAGTATATAAACACACACACACACACACACACACACACACATAAAGCGCACGATTTCGTCTCGGCAAATCAGCTACAAGGCAAATACAGTGCACACGTTGTAAATAAAATCCATCTTGCGCATCTATTTCACATCGTGCGGTTTAAGAATTTTTATTTTTTTTTTTTTTAGCTCTGAGGGTTAGCTTCAGAGAGCCGAAGAACAATATCAAAGTCTCAGACATCGTCAGGGAGACTCTTGCTGGATCTCTTTTTAATATTTATGCAGACATGACGGGGGGAGTGGGGAGAAAAAAAATGCAATAACGTAAAAACAACAAGTGAATTAGGCATGAAACACAACAGGATATTGCGGAGAGATTAAGTTGTTTCCTTCTCGCCAGCGTGTCCCTCGTTGCACCGCATAACAGCCCACGGCGCGTCTTTAATTGGAGCCCCAACGTGAGTTGCACAAGCTTTCTTGACGGTGGTGTCGTTGGCAGAGGGTTTCGGAGGAGTTCAACCCAAAATTAGGCTTTCATTTGGACAAAACGCATATTTTCAAGATGGTTTTAGTGAATTTACGAGTGAAAGTTAGGAGGGGGGGGGGGACAACAACAAAACCCTTAACCCTAATGGATTTATTTTTATGACCCAAAAAACAAAACTTTCATAACGTTTTACAGTGCATATAGTAGAATATCAGAAACATTTTCTTAAAGAAAAAAAAATTAACTGTAACTTATATTTAATTGTTTTTTACTATTTTATGGTGGATTTAGTAGGTGATCAAACACAAAGTATGCTTATTTAAATATTATTTAAAGATTCACATTCCTTTTTGACAGTTTACTAATAAAAAATAGAGAGAGAAAATTTTACTGTTGAACTTTAACCTCATTATTTTTAAAAGCAAGACAGTCGCAATCAAACCAAAAAGAAATCGGGAAACAAATTAAAAATCCATATCTTGAGATTTTTTTTTTTTTTTTGTGAGTTTATTATTTATTTTATGGCAAAAAAAAAAAGTTGACAGTTTTACAGTGCGCAGGACAACAAACAAAAAAAAAGCTCTTCAATTAGAAAAAAAAGACATAAAAATACATTATTTTAGTCAGTTTGCTCATAAAAAAATACGGAAGAAATGACCTCTTAAGAATTTGAAGATTTAAAAGATAAACAGAAATAGATGATTTATACCGATAACACAAACTGATGTTACCAAAAAAATAAAAAATAAAAATAACACCATGTCTGCCAAAAACAGTAAAATCCAACAAGGCCTGAAGATTATAAACCATCGCAAAACGCAGAGCAGCAGCATGTCACGTACGGCCGATTGCAACATTGGGAGAGAATTACACTGTCATCAGATGTCACGAGTCACAAACTTTATGGATTGAGCCTTGCTAATTCTTTTTTTTTTTGTTTGTTTTCCCTCCCTCCAAATGGCATCTCTTAAAATATTAGTCGTCGACAAACGTTGACAGGCTCAAGCGGGGGCCGGACATGAATTTGTGCCCCACAATAATGACGACTTCTCCTGCCAAGACGCAAGCACGCCGCGAGACACCAATTTAAGAGCTGCCAGAGAAGAGAGAGAGAGAGAGAGAGAGAGAGAGAGAGAGAGAGAGAGAGAGAGAGAGAGAGAGAGAGAAACAATATAGTTTGAATACTGTATGTTGAAAGGGAAGCAGGGAGTGTGTATCAGGAGAAGGGGGTGGGGGGGTCGTGTTATGTCTGGACGTGTGCAGACGTACACTTCACGAGGGTGCAATGGAATCTGCTGCTGGAAAGATAATAAAGGAGATCAGTGCTCCTCCCCCCCCCCCCTCCCCCCCGTCTTCCGTAAAGAGAACGTCTGATCTATTTCCGCTATAACAATTGCTCACATTCTTGAATGTCTTTGACCATTTTATGACCAAGAGCAAAAAAGACAAAAGGACAAAAAATAAAAAATAAAGTAGATATTTTCAGCAGGGGCAGCCCGGTGGTCCAGTGGTTAGCGTGTTGATCTCACAGTGCAGAGGTACCGGGTTCAATTCCAGCTTCGGCCTGCCTGTGTGGACTTTGCATGTTCTCCCCGGGCCTGCGTGGGTTTTCTCCGGGTACTCGGGTTTCCTCCCACATTCCAAAAACATGCTTGGCAGACTGATTGAACACTCAGAAATTGTCTCTAGGTGTGAGTGCGGATGGTTGTTCGCCTCTGTGTGCCCTGCGATTGGCTGGCAACCCGTTCAGGGTGTCCCCCGCCTACTGCCCGAAGACGGTCGGGATAGGCTCCAGCACCCCCCGCATATGGAAATGAATTGCAAGCAGACAATATACACGCAAACAATATATCGCCATTTTGAACGAATGTTAGCTTTTGGTGGACCTTCACATGATTGACTGTTTGACAAATCTACGGTGGTACCTCTACTTACGATGACATTTCTTAACTCTCAAATACTGTAAGTAGAGACACGTTTTCCATGTAAATGCCCTAATCCGTTCCAAGACCCCCACCAAAATTCAGACATCAATGTTTTATAAAGCATAAAAAAAGCATCAAAATATGTAACAAATACAAACGCTACCAACTCGCCCGTCTTGCGTCTCGCTACTCCAGACGACGAACTTTCTGGTGCTGTTTGGCTTGGACACGAGGCCAATTCACTTAATACTTGCGGGGCGGCTCAACGCGTAAAGCCCCCTACTTAAAAGGATCAAGTGCAGGCATTGTTTGGTTATGTTCACCATATGTGTTGGCTTTTCAGGATCCGAATCCCTTCTCCCAAAACGCCGGTGCTTGAGAAAATAAACACGGCTTTGCCCTACACAAATTGTGGACTAATTGTGTATTTGGACTAAATCATTCTTCAAGTCGGACTGCTTTTTCCATTTGCTAAGGGGCGCGGGGGAGTGACAGCTTGACATTGATCAGTGTGTTGACTTGTGGAATTGGAGCTTTACCTGTAACGCATACGACCGCAAAGTAGTGCTACGCGAGCGGCGGCTCACTTCTCGGCGTGGAAAAATAACATGTTCTCTTCACGTGTTCCACTAGACATACACAGGGATTGTAATGATAACTATTGTAAAGGGAAACCTACATTTGCCTTTCAATTTCAGTCTTTGTGATGGATGTGCTTGTTGATTTGAGCATTTTCTGGAACACGCCAGACCGTAAAGTATATAGAAAATGAGATTTCAAAATCATGAAAAAAAAAAAATAAAATACAGTTTCCTGTGGCTGCAGTACAGCACACCATGTCATCGGCACTCTTTTCCGCACAGCAACAACGAGGCGCTCTCAAGCGACCACGCCAGCGTACCACCTGTGTCCACACACACTCACGTAGGAGGTAAAACAATTAATAAAAAAAATAAATAAATTCTCGCTCTTCTGCCGTCTCTCTGTGGCATGCGTGCTCTCATGGCCAACAACAAGGCACTCTAAAGCGGCAAAAAGGTGCTGCAAAAATGTTCTTGATAATAAAAAATGTTACCTGTATATGCACCCCATCTAGTCTAAACATTCTGATTAATATTGTGTTTTTAAAATATGAAAAAGTCAGCAAAAAATATCTTATCCATCTCGGGGGGGTTCCGTCCAACATATTATTTTAAAGAAAATGCTTGACTTGGTTTTCCCTTAAATTGTGGTCAAGGGGTGACTCGGTGTGTCACTGGGCCCCATTTTTTTTTTACCCCCCAAAAATCAGGAAAACTGAAATTGTGAAAGCGGTTGAACGCTGAAGCGCCACAATTCAGTAGCACATAGTTCTCGGCGATCATTCCTTTATCGCAGCTACTGTGGGTGGCTCTGGAACCTACCCCCTGTGATAAGCTGGGGGGGTTCACTGGAGCATTTTATTTATGTATTTATTTTATTTTGCCACACACATTCAGTGTTTCCGTGCGGACGGAGACTCACCATACACTTGTTGGGTTTCTCCCCAGAGTGAACCCTCATGTGGATGAGCAGCTTGTAGCGGGCGTTGAAGGGCTTGTAGCGCCGGATGCATCCGGCCCAGAAGCAGGTGAAGTCCTCGCCTTTGCGCTGGTCAATGTGGACCTTTTCAATGTGCCTCACCAGCTCCTCCTGTTGCTCGTAGGCGGCGCTGCAGTCAATCCAGCGACACGACTGCTTATCGACCGGCGTGAGCCCGACTTCCTCGGTCTCCATGCCCGCGTGGGACCCGGCGGGGCCGCCGGACGATGACGACGACTTGAGTCCCAGGGACGAGCCCGGTGCCTGTTGATGGGTGTGGCTATTCAGAAGCCCACCGCCCGCATATTGGTGCAGGTGGTACGGCGGCAGCATGGCGGCGCGAGGGTGCTGATGGAGGTGGCGGACGTGCCCATTGCGCCCGCTTAAGTGATGGTGGTAGCGGTGCTGCAAAAGTTCATCGTCGCTGGGGGTGAAGTCATCTAAGGGCTCCTGCTTGAGGGTGGCCCCCGATCTTTGGCTCATGTCCAGCAGAGCCCCCGTGACGGCCCCTGATCTTTGGTTCCTATCGAGGACGGCCCCGGTTTCAGGCCCCGATCTTTGGCTCCTGTCCATCAGAGCCCCGGCTTCCGGCGCCGCTTGCAGCGTCCCCGACATTAGCATGAATAACCCCGAGCCATCCGACGAGCCTCCTCCGCCCCCTCCCGCATTCCCCAGGGGGGTCCCTCCGGCCCCGCGGCCTAGCTGCATGGAGCCCCGCTCCTCGCACTGTCCCTGGCCTTGCTCCGGCTCCGACGAAGACACCGACGAAGAGGATGAGGAGCAGGAAGAGGGCAGGGACAGCAGGCAGGTGGCAGGTGAGTTTGATAGCTGACAGCTCTCCTGCAGCGAGCTCCGCCGGGGGCTCTGGTGCTGCGCGGATTTGCGGGGGGCTTCCCGAGAGCAGGGGATATTCGGCGGGGATGTTGACGACGAAGAGGAGGAGGACGAGGGAGAGGAAAACCTGCCGCTGCTCGCGTGGCCGGGCGAGAGGTTGGCGCGGAAGCCGTTGACGCGAGCCACCATGGACGTCTGCGAGGAGGCGCAGATGATGGCGGTGATGTTGATCTCCTCCGAGGCGGTCCCGGTGGCAGACGGAGAATCCGCGGCGGCGGACTGCGAGGCCGGCGAAAGGCGACGTCTTTTCAGAGCGCCGGTGCCGAGCTGACGCGCCGAATGACGGGAGCTCGTTGGGGACAAAGCCGACGGGGAGGAGCCGTCTTCATTATTAAAAGGTTGCGCCGCATCGGCCGATGCGGCGTTGCCCACGACGCACATGCTATCTCTGCCGTTGCCGCCACCGGGCGCCATCTCGTCCCTCGACGTCCTCAGAACGATGCCGGACCTCGAGTCGTGAAAGCCAGTTTGGATTCCGGGCACCATGTTTGAAACGGTGTAGCCCATCGCATCCTCTTCCTTGATGGAATACGCTAGAGCCGACGGAGCCCCGTTGGCACCGCCGCAGCTCAGGCCGGGTGAGGCCCCGGGCAGGGTCCTCTGAAAAGTGGATGACCTACATTGAGGGGGACCAAAAAAAAAAAAAAAAAAAAGAGACATCACAAAGAGAGGAACATGAGCTCCATCATCTTCGCAACCGTTGACAGACGCAGACCCATTCACTGGAAGTCAAACGAAAGCGGGTTTTCTGATATCTGCACTTTTTCGACTTTTTTTTTTTTTTTTTGTCAAGACAGGCTGGTTACTTTTTTCAATTCTTCTCGACGGGTGAAACTAAATCGGGAGACTATAAACCGGCGTTTATTACTAAGATTAGAAAGGCCGACAGCAGTTGAGACTGAGAGGCCACTGGCTTGAGGGACCGCCTGACATCCTTTGATGGCACAAAAAAAAAAAAGGGGGTTTAAACCCAAGCCCAACATTGGGGGATAAATATGGAGTCACCTGTTTCTGGTGGCCCTAATTGCAGCCTCGGAAAGCGTTTGTCCATTACAATGCTGCGTATTATGGTGGGAATCTTTGCCTTTTTTTTGCCCCCCCACCTACGCCCCGCCCCACCCACCAACCCACTCAAAGAAAAACAGAGCCACAGAAATATTATCGAGGGTTGCGCGGAGGCAACTATTTGCCGTTTAGCCGAACAGACACGTAATTGTTTATGAGAAGTAGAAGCGGCGGCGGCGGCTTACCTGGCGTCCTGGTGAGGGCTGTCCTGCAGAAGAAGATCAGGCGCAGGACTGTCACACTGGAGGCTCTGCGGGTAAAGTCCCCCAGGGTGACCCCCCAAGGGCAGCGGCAAACTCTGCCCACATGGCATCAAGGTGCCCTGGGTGGCCCCCAGCTCAGCGTCGCCGTTCTTTGCTAAGCTGTAGCCGCCGTGACCTGGAAGCAGAGCGGCGGCGACGTGACACTAATGAATGCACAAAAAAAAACGGAAAGAGTCATGTTATAGATCAGAACTGGTGGTTGTTGAACTTTGACACACTTGTCATCTTTTTTTTTTTTTAATTAAGGCCCGCAGACCCCATTTTGAGAGCCTCGGCTCACGATCCGCTAATGACTCTTTGTTTCTACCCGCCCATGACCCAATGTTTGTAGGTGATGATGCAAAGCGGTTCAAGTTGAAAAGCAGATCGCCGTCAACAGCCGTCGGAACGAGCGATCGCGAAGATGCGACTAGAAATCGAAGCCATTCGGAATGCCCTGAAGAAGAAATCCGGGAACCGCAGACTTCCGATGTTGTCTTGAATGTCAAATGATGCAACGCCACTGCTGATATATCGGGGGGCCATTTGGCGAAAAAAAAAATGACAGGCAGGGTAATGGCAATGAGAAATCATCTCTAATATTAGTGTTGGTGCAACTGAAGCAAACTCAAATTACATGTGTCCGGAAAACCGATTCAGCCAAGCGCAATGTCATAAGTCATTTTGTATAAATAATGCCATTCCATGAGCCCGCGCGCGCACTTGTCAGGTAAATCATGAGGTTTTTTTTTTTTTGTTTTTTCTTTTGCTCAATTGACTGTTCACTGAATGATTGATGGCGGGATTTTTCCAAACCCTCCAATAATTAATAACTTTTATACGTTCATCCCATCTGCAAATAATCAGATGGTGCGGGACACCAATGGGACAGTGTTGGTTACCCGCCCGGTGAATCTGCTTTTTTTTTTTTTTTCCCTTCCCACTCTAACACATTTAGATCCCCCCCTTTATCGAGATGTATCATCATCTCAGTCAAGCGTGAGGATTTGATACGCTTTGCGGGCACATCCGCAATACCACACGATTAACGAGGAGGCACACAGTGGCGGTGTGCGAACATGACTCGGAGGGAGGAAAACACGATGAGGAAATGTTGACAGAAAGGCAGCCAATATCCCCAAGCCGCCACTTTGAACGGCAGCCGCACGTGTCGCCGCTTCCCGCTTGCCTGACTCAATTTCGCAACGGCATTTTCTGCTCGAGATGTCACTCCGTGTGTAACTGCTCACCCCTTCCCTCTCTGCTCGCCGAGGAGGAGGCGAAAAAAAAAAAAAAAAACATGACTGGCAACCAATTAAACTTGAAAGAGGCTGATTGTTTACTCACGTCAGCAAGCAGCCAATCATATTGTGGCATTCTCAGAAGTCCCCTCAGAAAGAAAAGTGGCAAAAAAAAAAAAATGTGTTGAATTTATTCCATTTTATTTCGTCAAGTGGTTGCACGACAATCATCTGGATCCAAACACATTGTTTTAAGTAGATGTATCGTCTACTCAGAACAACTGTTCAAAATGATATCTGGGGAAAAAAAAAACAATAGGAAAAGAATTAGCGACTTTTGGGACATCCTGTATTTGGTTGATTTTTTTTTTTTTTTTTTTTTTTAAAGAAAGTTAGTACCAATGTGAAGTGATTGATTCCTTCTGAATGAAAGCATGGCATGGCAAAAAATGAATAAATCAAAAATTCAAAGGAAGAATCAGAAAGTGGAGCATAAACGGGTTCACCACTAACCACCGTACTGCGCTTCTTAACAATCTAGTAATCAGCGCAGGGATCGGCACCAAAAACTCCGCCTTGGCCCGTTCCCAACCATACCACAAAGCTTTGTAAAAATAAATCGCACAATACTTTCTGTGTAATCCAAACAAATGGACAAACATGCGGTGATGAAAACATCACCTCCTCGGTGGAAGTGATAACAGATGGAGAGGTAGAGTAAATGTTGAAGACAAAAAAAAAGTAGGAGGACGTTTGGAAAATCTGACTTTTTTTTTTTTTTTTTTTAACAGGGGTTGACAAGAGGAGAAAAAAAAAGAAAATAAGAGGACGTTGTGAGCCACGAGTCACGCTCGGCAACAAAAACAGGCCTTGGTACGCTGCGAGCCCGCGGCGAATGATGGAGCTCTGGCGGTGACGTGGGTCGCGGCGTCAACGCAAACAAGCGCAGAAAAAGGAAACGCAAGAGACACAAACAGTGCGCGGTCGCCAAGGGGATGCTGCGAGCAACCCTGCTTTCACTCAAAGGTGACGGTCTGTTTTCCAGCACGCCTATATTTTCTCGGGATTAAAACCCACCGAATGCGCTCGTCCCGTCTGTGTTCGTCATCACAAAATGTCATCAAATCAACCCCATCGGCAGTCGAGGGAGCGCGACGATTGCACACAAATGCAAAATGAAAGCACTCACAAGGAGCAATATTCATCTCATCACCTGACAAAGAGATGACACACAAACAAAATCCTAGAGAAGCTCAATATATTCTCATGTGCGGATCGCCAGTCAAACAGTTTTCCTCTGACCAACCAATCAGAGGATGGAAAAGTTGTGATGTCATCATCTGAGGTGAATTCGAAAATGGTCGCAATCACAGCCCCGCTGCTGATGGAGTTGAAGTTGCACCGGCCGGCACGACAGATTCTGAAGTCCCGGGGCAGATTAGACTGACATGGCAACACAGAGAGGCTGAAATGTGATTGGACAAAAAATAAATAAAAAATATCCGCATCCACTTACTGGAAGCAGTTTGCAGAAATGCAACGAAATGAGGAGACTCGACCTTTGGGAATAATTGAAAATAATTCAGTGGAGTGGTTTGATTTTATTTATGCACAGTCAACTTGAGACTTGAGTAAACCAAAAACATACAATACACAGTGGCCATGGGAAAATGGTGTGATTATTATTTTTTGAATGGGGGGGGAAAATGCATGTCGTTGAAAATCTCATGTCATCTTTTGATGTTATTTTACGTCAGATGCAAACCGACTCAATGGTTGCTTTGATGAGTGCGATGTTGATTTATTTTTTCTCATTTTTCCTCTGCGTCGTGTCGTAAAAGTCACGTTGTGATGACGTGAAGAGTGTTTTGTGATGAAGGTCCCGATTGCACCCGCCCCCCGTTGTGCGACGGTGGGTGATTTACACTCTCGCTTAACGGAATCGGTTCTGCTCGAGAAATCTTGCGGCTCAAACATATGCCGGCTCGGATTGGACCCAGAAGTAATTTTGGACTGAATGAGCCGTGGAAATTGAACGTTGGGTATTTTAGATGAGCGTTGCACGCTCGCCTTCGGTCAGGAAGCCGAAGTCAAATGGAGCATCGAGGGACGGCGGCGCGAAATAGCCGTCGCGGAGGAAGCGCTGTGGCTTCGGTTGACTCGGTCAAGCTCGACTGATTTGAAGACTCCCATAATTTGAGCGGAACAATATCGTGGGGGCTTCTGTTCAATGTGCATTGGGCTGCTCCTGCTGGCGTGCGCGCCTTGGCCACGTGGGGTCAGTATAATACCGACATACGGTTACGCAGGACTGTACACGGAGACGGTCGCCGGCTCCTTAATAAGGCAGAAATATGACTTGCTCTTCGCAGAGGATAATGAATACATGCATGTTATGTATGCCGATGCTTGTTATCCGATTCCCAGCAAGAAGGTTTAGATATTTGTTGCGTAAAGGAACCTACACCATAAAAAAAGGGTGGTATTCAATAGCCCGTCGGTGGCGTTTTGCGTTGTTTGTTAGCATGAAGCTAAACAAACTTTATTCAAGCAAAGTTGAGTCGTTTTAAACACACAACTTGTTATTTTCGTTGTTTTATGTTCAGTTTGAAAATAAACATCGACTGGGAGTGGCAATAAACAGCTTGAAGCCTCTTTTTGGAAGATTTGCTACACAAACCGCCGCTTGCTGTGAAGCGACTCGATTTGAGTTCCCCGCCGCCATGGAGCAGTCTTCTCTCAAGGCGCCATTGTAGTAGAGGAGAAACTCAACAAATTACACGTTCGGTGGTTCGTCCGGGCGTGAACAAGGACCACAGAAGAAGACCCGTCCGTGTTTCTTACGAGAAAAATTAGCAACAACGGCACAGAGGGGATGGAAATTGTCGACAGACATTGGAGGAAAAACAGAGGCAGGACACTGTCCAGAGACACCTGGTGCAAATTCAGCACACATGTGTTGGCCCATCTAGCCAAACAGCCACTGATGTCAGCATTACTAACAAAGAAAAAAAAAAAAGAAAACGAAAGAAGGCCTCTATTGTTTTCGACTTCTCGCGCCTCCTCCCCGCCACACTTCAACGTACAACAAAACTCTCAAAAGAACGGAGGCGAGAAACAGCCGCTGCTGATAACAGCAAAGTCTAATAATATCCTCTGCTACGTCTTAAGTGGCATCTTCCGTTCCTTAAATGTCCTCAAGCGTTGCTCGCCCTGCCGCTTCGCCTGCGTAATTGGCACGCGGGGAGCAGAAGTTGGAAGAGGAAAGCAAAGGGTGGTTCATCCAAGCAGGCCACACCCCTTAAAGGCGCACATCCAGTGCGTGCAAATCCTTGAACCCGACCAATACGCTCGGGTCATTTGAGAAGCAGTTTCCAGGTGCGTATGATTGCTTTTGACAATCCTGCTACCATAAGCCTGCTCTGATGTCACCAATTTGTCATCGGCGACTTCCCCTTTTTTTTTTTTTTGGGGGTCCAAATCCTTCGGGAAGGCAAGCCCAACGCAGCTGTAAAAGCACAAGGCTGAAAACTACAGAAGGGAAGAAATGAATGAGCGTGAAACGTTTTAAAACGCCGTCCGGGGCGTCTGTGATATGCGGGTACACGGGATATGTGGTAGGCGGGGGACACCCTGAACCGGTTGCCAGCCAATCGCAGGGCACGCAGAGACGAACAATCATCCGCGCTCACAATCAATTCAAGGGACAATTTTTGAGTGTTCAATCAGCATCTCACGCATGTTTTTGGAAGGTGGGAGGAAACCGGAGTACCCGGAGAAAACCCACGCAGGCACAGGGACAGCATGCAAACTCCACACAAGAAGGCCGGAGCTGGAATCGAACCTCTGCACTGTGAGGTCGATGCGCCAACCATCAACATACTCTACTCCGAAT